AGCATAGCAGGCACGCTCAGCAGTCAGGCATGAACACACAAAAACCTGTCTGGTATGATCGCCGGCAGGAGGGCAATCCAGCTCGACGGCCTCAGTTTAAGTGCACGAAAGTACCCAGAGCCCCGGTGGGCATCTCGGTCGAGCTTCCGTTTCTCAGAGAGAAAAGCAGGGCCTCTAAGTTCACAGTCTACCTGATCCAGACAGCCGGCATTACGAGGTTGAGTTCATGTCTTATGCCAGTCACGTGAGGGAGCCGGAGCGCGGCCGTGGGGGAGTCAGAGGAAGGGAAAGGAGACAAGAAAGGATGGCAGGAGAGGAGAGAGAGAATACAGGAGAGGAGGTGAGGAGGAGAGGAGGTGAGCTCTTGGGTGTTGCTTTACCTCTTGCTCGTGTGGTAGAGGCTGGAGATGGAGGAGCAGGCTTGAGCAAGCACGAGGACGAGGAGCGAACGGATGCTGAGGGAGGTGAAGGGCCTCATCGGCATCACAGGAGGGTGAAGTCTAGAGGATGGCAGCTCACATGCACGTGAGGAACGTGTACCGTTGCGAGAGGGAGGAAGAGCAAGGAGGAGGGAGGGAGGGAGAGGAGGGAGAGGAGGTAGGGAGAGGAGGTAGGGAGAGGAGGTAGGGAGAGGAGGTAGGGAGAGGAGGTAGGGAGAGGAGGGAGGGAGGGAGTTTCGAAGTTATGGCTCCTTCATCTCCTCCCAGTAGGATCTACTTTTCAGTGGGACGACGATGCGAGAACTCGGGATCTGACACACCAACATGTGAGCAAGAATAAACATGTGACATGTCCTGAAGACACTCCTCTCTCTCCTCCCTTCTCCTCCTTTCCTCTCCTCTTCCTTCCTCTCCTCTTCCTCCTTTCTCAACACTCTTCGCCCTCGCCCCAGCCGGTTCTACCTTGGAGCAGCAATAAAATCCTAACGGACTTCGAGGAATTCAATTCATCACCACAGGGAGCGAGACAAGACTATCATGCCACATGCTATCCTACTCAGAACAGAGCAGCTTCACTGACCTGCTCTTGTCCTCCTTCTCTCCTCTCCTCCCCCTCCCTCCCTCCCTCCCTCCCTCTCCATTCCACTTGCATTGTCGGAGAATATTATGTCCCCAGGGTTTCTCACAGGAGGTCCTTCTATTTCGAGACAAAAGTTATCAGTTGCAACGATTTCAATTTTAATTAAACATTTGTACCAATTATCAACAATGACTAAATTATGGAGTCTCAATAGTACCTTTGCCAACCCACCACCCACCTTCCTTTGGAGTACAGATATGGCCATTACGTCATCACCAAAAGCTGTCTTGCAAGCTCAAATCTTGTACTGCTGCTGCTGCTGCTGCTGCTGCTGCTGCTGCTGCTGCTGCTGCTGCTGCTGCTGCCCTTCTCACTCCCTCCTGTATCCCACCAGCTTCCAAACTATGCCTATCGTCCTGGTCTTCATTGACTTCCTCCTATTCTCTGCGCATCGTCGTACCCGCCTGCGACTTGACTTCCTTTTGTCCAAATGGTCGCCACCTCCTGCCAGCCCTGGTCCCTCACACGATCCTCCCACCTCCCTGCTCATTCTCGACTGCTCTCGTCACGGGCTCCCCCGACAGCCACTGACAACGATGATAGTCCGTCTGTCTTCCTGCTGCTGCTGCTGCTGGTGCTGCTGCTGCTGCCTTCAAGGAATCTCTTCAGACCGGCTCGCCCTCCTCAGCCTCTGATAGTTCACCACTCGCTGGATGCACCTCTCTGCAAGATCCTTGGAGATCGAGGAGCTCTGAGACGACCTGCTTCCACTTCGCGGCAGCCCTTGCACCTCCTTCTGCTCGTCTTCCTTGGGCTCGGCCTCCTCAGCAGACGATGCGAGGAGGTCGGGGGTGATGACGTCAGCGTTCTTGGCCTTCTCCTCGAACGCTCGCGCGACGTCGTAGATGGTGGGCCGCCGGGCGAACCTCTGCACGACGTCGTTGAAGCTGTGAAACACTTCCTTGCTCCAGTCCTTCTCTCCCTCCTTCGCCATCCCATGGCGCGCGTTGTAAGTATCCATGACGATCGCCAGGAGCATGTTGAGGATGATGAGCGTGACCAGGCAGACGTAGCCGGCGACCCACGTGAAGCCGATGGTGACGGTTTGCTGGTCGAGGGCCTTCATCTCCTGCCATGCCGACATGTCGGCCACCAGTAGCTCGAAGCAGGTGACGATGGAGTTGGAGATGCTCGAGAAGGCCTTGAGCTCGTGCCCGAACAACAGCGTCCCCATGCCGGCGAAGCAGAAGACGATGGTCATGAACACGAGGACGAAGTGGAAGATGTCGGTGGAGGCCGCAGCGAAGGTGTCGAGGATGACGGCGAGCCTGGGCTGCACGCGAATGACGTCGAGGAACTGGAGGAGGAAGAAGAACAAGTTGAGAGAGCATACGATGCGGTACGACTGCAGGTCGCTTGTCACTTGGCTGATCCGATCCTGGAGTTGACGAGTCAGTGCAGGCAGGCAGGCAGGCAGGCAGGCAGGCAGGCAGGCAGGCCAGGGGGGGGGGGGGGGGGAAAAAAAAAAAAAGGTGGGGGAGAGAGATTGACCTGAACTTCAACCTCGTGGAGGAGCATGCCCTCCGCAACCTTGCTCGTGATCTCTCTCGTCTCCTGCAGGAGACCCAGATGCCACCAGAAGGAGAGCACGTATGAGATGATCATGGAAGCGAGTGACAGGAGCTCCCAGAAGGTCGGCCAGCGGCCCTTGAGGACCCCGGGAAGGGTGGAGATCGTGAGGATGGAGTAGATTGCCAGCACCACATACCAACCAGCATCGCTCAGAGTCGCGTACCCACTGACCTTGTAAGGGTCGAGGAGGATCGAGGCGATGGAGAACTCTGTCCCGATGTAACCTCCTCGTTCCACGTTGAGTTTCAGGATGGCCTCTGTGAAGACGCTCAACTCTCCGTTGTACAGGCTGACAACGATCTCGACCATGTCGGTCTGCCGGTCGATCCAGTGCCTTGCTTCGAGGTACCGGACCCTCTCTGCGACCAGCTTCGCCGCTAGCTTGTCGCTCAGCCAGAACCTGTACACGCCGTCCTCTGTGTCGTTCGTGAAACCCTCCGCCGCAGACGTTGCGTCGTGCAGCCCGATAGCTTCCTGGTAGCCTGACGCGTCCAGACACTGCATCCCGTCCTCGTGCTTTGCCGGCACGTTCTCGTAAGGAGGGCAGAGAGGAGTACCGTAAGGCTGGTTGTCAGGCTCCCGATCCTTTGGATGGCATTCAGAACCATAGAACGCGTCGAGCACATGGATGGCACATGTGGCCGGTCGGGACCTCCGCTGCTGCAGCCTGACGCTGCCAAGGATGCGGTTGTACTGTGAGATCCTTCCCCAGTCAGCCTGGCTGAGCTGGTTGCCGACATGATCCGTCTGCACAAACGTGGTGGGCACAAAGACGTGCTCCATCCAGTCCCAGAACTCTCCGAGGCTGTGGATGTCCTGGAAGTGGGATATGGAGAGGTCCTTGCGGTCGGAGAACAAGTAGATGTGCTCCACCGCCCTCTCCACCTCGCACACTCTCGCTACGTCAACGTGGAACATGACGGAGGAGAAGAACGTTATGGTAAGGAGGACCACTAGAGGGATTCTGATGCAGCTCTCCCTTGTGCGCTTGCTCCTCGACAGGTACTCCATGAGCTCTTCTCTCCCGATCTCCAGCTGATCGCGGATGTTCCGAGCAGCTGAAGTTGCTCGTCTGATCGAGCCAGGAGCTTCTCCGTCATCGTTTGCGCTCGTGGCCACTCGCTGGTACTCCCCATCGCCCAACCCCTGCATCAGGTTGGTCCGGGAATCGAAGTTATTCATGTTGACTTCTTGCCCGTCCATGTTGACTTGCACGTCTGAAGTTGGTAAGATCCTCCGCGATGAAGCCCATTGTGATGAATTCTCACTCTCCATGACTGCGACAGGCATTTCAGTGTACGAACTGGTCGGGGTATTTCGCAAGCTCGTGCGTTGAACAGCCGGCACAGCTTGACATTGCTGAGACGATCTACAGTTCTATACTATAACAATGTAAAATTCTTTCATTAACTCATGCACGATTGCGCTCTACATATGCAGCCACCTATCTCACACCTTTTACTTCTCCCATGTCTGCCCTATATTTCTGTTTGAGGCTATCATCTTATATCACTTTGTTTCATCTCAATCATCAACTAGCGCGCACAATTGTTCGATCTCTTCACTTTCTTCCGACTTCCTTCAGTTTGATCAGCAAAGCACATCCTATTACTCCCGCTTCCCCATGACTGTCATCGTATAGGGCTTCCTTCTTCATCGCGGCTGCATCTCCCTCATCTTTCTCCTCCTCCTCCTCCTCCTCCTCCTCCTCCTCCTCTCCTTCCACCTCCTCCTCTCCCCCCCCCTCCTCCTCCTCCTCCTCTCCTTCCACCTCCTCCTCTCCCCCCTCCTCCTCCCCTCCCCTCCCTCAGCTTGTTGCAACTTTCATCTCGCCATTCCCCAATACAAATGACCCCCCCTAAAAAGATTTGCAGGGGTACCACCACCATATACTGCTCATTGCGGTGGAATGGGGGGGTAGGGGTGACCCTCCATAGTTGAGTAAAAGTCTTAGGCCCGTTTCCCGCCGGCTCCCAGATTCCAGATTTTTGACTTTATTCAAACTAATTTGAAATTTACCCCGAAATATTCACCGGTGCTTTCAATACATACTGACAGGGGGTGGGTCCACTGCCTGTTCATATTTGATGCTCCCAGCGTACCCTCCCTACCTTCTAACAATTTTTCTCGATTGAGCTAATAGTATATTTCCATATAGTGCCTGCCCATTCGAAAAGCAAAATCTGGGAAAGTCAACCGCATCGTTTCATTCTCAAATTAAAATGACTTATAGTTGAGTTCTCCAAAACATTTGGAGTAGAAAAAAAAGAATTTGACTTATATTTGTATGAAAAAATCTGGAATCTGGAATCTGGGAGCCGGCGGGAAACGGGCCTTAGAGCTTCTCCGGAGTTCCCAGGCTGTTCCCCGGAATCTCAATGGGACTTAGAGGAGATGAGGGCTAAATAGGATCAGGGTGGGGATGAGGGCTGTTCCCGGAGCCGCCCCGACCGTTGAAAGACCTAGTCACGTCAGCGCAGGCGAACCTGCAGGCGAACGGGATGGAAGGAGGGGGAGGGGAAGGAGGGGGGGGAGGAGGGGGAAGAAGAGGAGGGTCAGGAGGAGGAGAAGTAGTGGCTCTGAATGAGGCAGGAGGACAGTCGAAAGCAAACGAGAACACACTGACAGGAACAGTGGTTCGGAGAGGCGGCAGCGACGCGGTCCGGTCAGAAGCAGCAATGGCTTCTGATGTTGATGGGACGGACGGTAGCGGGAGTGTTGTCTCATCTGTGTCAAACTTCACTACTCTAGAAGAGGAGATGAGAAGCTCGCTCATAGACCGATGCTTCCGTCAAGCCAAGGAGGGTGACCTCGCGGGATTCAAAGCCACGTCCCTCACCCTCGTCCTGTGTAACGGGGGGAGGAGCGAAGTCAATTCTATCAAGGATGCCAGGGGCAGGACACTCCTGCACTGGGCCGCCCACGAAGGTCATCTCAGCTTCGTCAAGTTCCTCCTCATCGACCTGCTTGCCAACGTGTATGAGACTGACCAGGACGGGAACACTGCCGCTGATCTTGCGCGCGAGCAGTACTGGAAGAAGGTCCTGCGGTTCATCGAGTCGTTCGCTGACGCCCAGCTGCGGTACGTCGCGCTCCTCCAGTCCTCATGCAGGCGGCGCTTGCAGAGGGCTGAGTTTGTGCGGTGGCATGGAGCTGCGTGCAGGGTGAAGTGCCGAGTCGTCGCGCTGCCCTTCAGGAGGAGGAAGCACGAGACGCTCAGGTTCACGAGCATGTGGTTCCTGAATGGGGAGGAGGGGAGAAAGCTCCTCGTCTCCCCGCTCCAGGCTCGGATACGACGGCTCCTGCTGTACCAGCACGCGGCAGCTCCAGAGCCATCGGGATGCCGCTATCCCCTGTACCACTTGGCCAAACACGCTGCCCTTGTCGTTTCCTCCTGCGTGAAGCGGAGGCTGAAGTCGATGCTCTACAAGAGCGCCATAGTGTGGTGCAGGAAGACTGGGCAGCCGCTGGGCTCCATGCTGAACCGCCTGATCGGGAGGTACCAGAGCTCGAGCAAGCAAGTCGTCTCCCCGCTCATCCGCAACAGGAGCTACATCGTCCACTCCTCCAAGTTCCAGCTGCAGCTGGAGCAAGGGGGAAGCTCGAGAGAGGCTCAGCTGCAGGTGAAGAGGCAGTTCTTCGAGCAGAAGGCGAGGGAGGCGGAGAGGAGGAGGAGGAGCTCGGTCCGAGTACAGAGGTGGTTCAGGAGGCTGCAGGACAGGTGGAGAGTGGAGGAGAGGTTGTGGGGGAAGGAGGAGAATCGGAGGGTGGAGGAGGCGTTCTTCAAGAACAAGCTCTTTAAGCTCTTCACAAACCAGGAGAGGAGCCTTCTGGTCTACGTGGAATGGGGGGAGGAAGGAGAGCGAGGAGGGCTGCGAGGGCTGATTTTCCTGCACATGAAGGCGACGGAGGTGATGAAGGAGGAAGAGGAGGCGCGAAGGAGCCAACGTCTCCTTGCCCAGCTGGAGTTCGAGCAGCTAGTGGAGAGGAGACGGGCTGCAGAGAGGAGGAGGAAGGAGGAGGAGGCGGCTGGGCGGATCCAGAAGGCTTGGAGGGGGTGGAGGAGGAGGAAGTTGAAGCACGAGGAGCTGGTGAGGCTTTCCAACACGGGATGGATCCTGCGAAAGAAACAGGAGGAGGAGGAGAGAAAGAAGGAGCTGGCAAGGTTGAGTACGAGGAGGGAGAGGAGAGGGGGGGGAGGAGGGGGAGAGGAGAGGAGAGGGGGGGAGGGGGAGGGGAAGGGGAAAGTAGATGAGAAGGGGGTGAGGCGGGATGACAGAAGGAGAAGAAGGAGAAGAAGGAGAACGTGGCGGTGGAGGGGAGGAGGAGGAGGTGGTGGTATTGGAGTTGGTGGTGTTGATGATGGTGGTGGTAGTAGGGGAGGAGGAGGTGGTGTTGTTGTTGATGGTGGTGGTAGTAGGGGAGGAGGAGGTGGTGTTGTTGTTGATGGTGGTGGTAGTAGGGGAGGAGGAGGTGGTGTTGTTGTTGATGGTGGTGGTAGTAGGGGAGGAGGAGGTGGTGTTGTTGTTGATGGTGGTGGTAGTAGGGGAGGAGGAGGTGGTGTTGTTGTTGATGGTGGTGGTAGTAGGGGAGGAGGAGGAGGAGGAGAAGTCTTCTGACATCTGTGTGCGAGCAGGTTAAAGATCATGATGTACTCCATGAGAGGAGACGCGGAGCAGCGGAGGAGGTGAAGGACGTGATTGTCGGTTTCCTGCCTCATTCCACGCCTCCCGCAGGCACAAGGAGCAGCTCGAGAACGCGATCTCCGAGTCCATGAGTCGCCGGAGGGAGATCGCAGAGGAGGTTCAGAGGACGGAGAGAGGTCCGTCCTGCCGTTTGCCTCTTTTCCTTCCTCCTGATTGAGCTTTTTTCTCTTCTCCTCATCCTCCCCCTCCCCTTCCTGTTCCTCTCTTCTCGTCCTCCTCGTTTTGCTCGTCCTCCTCCTCTCCTCTCCTCCTCCTCCTCCTCCTCTCTCCTCCTCTCTCCTCCTCTCTCCTCCTCTCCTCTCTTCCTCAACCTCCTCGTCCTCCTTTTCTTCGGTTTGCTCCCTCCTCGCTCCCTTCTCCACTTGCTGTAGATCGGAGAGTCTGCATCGCGGCACACCGGCACCAGGAGGCCGGCAAGCTCAAGCTCAAGCTCGACAGACTTCGCACGGAGGCTGAGAATCTCCGAGCTGGAGAGCAGCAGAACATGGAGAAGGTGGAGGCCCTAGAGCAGGTGAAGCTCCTCCTCTGCACCTCCTGCTCCTCCTCTCCCCTCTTCGTTCGCCTCCTCCTCCTCCTCTTGTTCCTGTCCTTCGTCTCCGTCATCATCATCATCATCATCATCATCCTCGAATACTTTCTGCTTCTCCTCCTCCCATCTCCCTCATCCCCCCTGTACTCCTCCTACTTGGCCCTGACTTGGAGCCCCCAGGAGCTCCTCGTGTCCTCCGAGAAAATCATCCAGCTCGACGTCCAGCTCAAGTCTGCTGAGTCCAAGTTGACAGCGAGGAGGAGGAGGAGGAGCCAGGGGCTGCCGCAGAACTCAACAACCCTCATGCTCATTGAGAAGAGGGAAAGGCTCTTCCTCTGCCGCCACGTCGCCTCCTCCCCGGAAGGAGCAGCTGCAGTCCTGCAAGGAGCGTGGAGGGGGCACCTGGCAAGGAGCAGGCAAAGGAGGTTGTTGGAGAATTGCTCTCCTCCTCCTCCTCGCTTGTCCCCTTCCCATCCTTCGATGGCTCATCACTCCCCTGCTCCTGCTCCTGCTCCTGCTCCTGCTCCTGCTCCTGCTCCTGCTCCTGCTCCTGCTCCTGCTCGACTCTCGTTCGCCCCTCCTGCTCCTTCGTCGCGCCTTCCTCCCTCCTCCTACATTGCCCCAGCTCCTCCCCCTGCCAAATCGACCAGAAATCTGCCAGAGATCAAGCAGAGGTTTGCGTTCTTCTTCCCCGGAAAGGAAGCGATCATGTCAGGACGAGACGAGGGAGGAAGAGGAGGAGGACAGAGCGGGCGGCAAGACAAGAACAGCTGGAAACTACCTCACATCACGGCAGACGCGCGACGGTGAATGAGGAGACGAGAGGAGGGCGTTGCAATCATGTTCGCAGATCTCATATTACTTGCTGTGTTCTTCACCCTTCGTGTTTCTCATCTCCTCCTCCTCCTCTTCCTCCTCCTCCTCTTCCTCCTCCTCCTCCTCCTTAGTCTGTCATTCTTTTCGTGCATCTTCAATAGTGTACATCATCTCCTCTCACGCCTGCGCGAACAATTCTGCCTGCTCCTTCCTCTGCTTCCTCTCTCGCTCCCTCACGATCCCCTTGAGGATTTTCATCGCCTCCTCTTGCTCCTCGACCTGCTTCTCCGCCGCCTTCAAGGGAATTTTCCCCTCTTCCTCCTGCACTCCTTGTCAGACAGCTCGTAGTTCGCATGCCTACAACACCTTCTCCTTGTCTTGCTCCAGCTCCTCCCTCGCCTTCCGCAGCGCCTGCTTCGATACCAGCACCCTCCTCCTCGCGCGCTTGTACTTCCTCTCCTCTTCAGCATGCGTCTGCCTCCTCGTCTGCCCCTGAAACTCAGCACAGAGCAGGAGGAGGAGAGACGGGGAACCTCGACGAGTTTCTCCCACATGCTCTTCGCCTCCTTCATCCCTGCGGGCTCTCGGGCCTCCTTGTGCTCGAGGTGCTTCAGAGCCTCGACGTCTTCCTCCAGCTGCCGTTTCACATGCTGCAATACAGCGCTCAGCAGCGAACAAGAGAGCGACAGGGCCGAGGAGCGGGGAGGAAACATGAGGGGGGAGGGAAGGTGTGTGTGCGCACGCTCGCACGCGGAAGAGGAGGAATTGGGAATGCAGGAGAAGGGAAAAGAGGATGGGAGGGAGGGAGGAAAGGGGGGAAGGGAGGGAGGGAGGGAGGGAGGGAGGTAGGGAGGAAGTGAGGGAAGGAAGGGAAGGCGGGAGGGAGGGAGGAAAGAGAGGAAGGGAGGGAGGGGAGGGAGGGAGGAAAGGGAGGGAGGGAGGGAGGGGAGGAGCAGCAGACCTTGAGAGCAAGGTCCCGGACAGCGTGCTTCCAGTGAGCGTGACTTGTCGCTTCCTCGTGCTGGGATCGTTCGATCTCAGCAGCCCTCTCGAGCATCTTCTGGTGGAGCTTCTCGCTGAAGAGAAACGATGAGGAGAAAGCGCGGGCAAACACGCAGGTAGGAGGAGAACATTGAAGAGGTAGGAAGGGGGGAGGGAGGAGGGAGGGAGGGAGGGAGGGAGGGAGAAGAGAGGAGGGAAGATGGTACAGTAGACCAAGGAGGCCGCAACTATACCTTGCCTTCCACTTCCGATCCCTGGCAAGAGCACGATGAACTGCTTCTTGCTCAAATTTCTTGATCTTGGAGTGCTGGGCATGCGCCTCCTCCTCCTCCCGCAACCGACGCTGACGCTCCTTGGTCCGATCTCTGTCGTCCACCCTACGGAGCCTCTCTAGCACCGCACCATCTCTCTCCTCCCTCGCACTTCCTTGGACAGGAGGAGCAGGAGGAAGAGGGTTGCTGGCCTCATGCGCTAGGGACTTGCTCGCTCGCCTCCTCTCAAGCGTCTTCCTGGCCTCCTCCTTCCTTCTCTCCATTCTACTTGACAGCAGCTTCTTCTCGTGCTGCACCTCCTGCTCCCTCTCCGTCTCCCTCCTCTCCTCCCTCCTCTTCATCGCGTCCCCTTCCAGCTCCATCATCTTCCTCCTCGCCCGCACAGCCTGGTCGAGGAAGGTCTTGCGCAGGAGAGCTTGCTTCTCCCTCTCCGCCGCCTCCCAGTCGCTCCTCGAGCTCTTGACCTTCTCCTCCTCCGACTTTCAGAACATGTCAGATCGAGGCTTGCTGTGCGCAAGAACCCATACCTTCTCATGCTTCTGGATCTTCTCCTGCCTCTTCTTCTCCATAAGATGCACGGCTGCTCTCTCCTTCTTCCTCTGCGCCGCCTCTTCCCTGGATCGCTCCAGATGCTCCTCCAAGTCGGCTTTCTCCTCCTCCTTTACCTTCCTTCTCTCCTTCGAAACCTCCTCCTCCGCACGAGCCTCCGCCCTCCGCACAAACTGACGTTGAGGTTAAGACCGTCATCCTCACCCTCTACAGTCTCACCTGGGCGCTCTGCTGCTTATCCTCCTCCTCTTTCTCCTCCTCCTCCTCTTTCACCTTCCCCTGCATGTGCCGCAGCTTCTCCTCTCGCTCGTCCTCCTGTTGATGGTGCTCCCTCTCCTCCTCCTGGAGCTTCTCCCTCGCCCTCGCCTCCTTTCGATCGACACTCTCAACTTTGGAGATCTGCTTCTCCTCCTCGGGGCCGACACCCTCCTCCTCTCCACTGGGAAGTCGCTTGCGCCCAACTGCAGGCACAAGAGCCGATACCGCTTCCTCCTCCTGCTTCTCTTTGCCTTCCTCCTTCCTCGCCTCCTTCCTCTGCGAATGGAACTTCTTTTCCATCCTGCGAGCCGCCTCCATCTCCTCCTTGCGCTGCTGCTCCTGCTCTTCAGCAGCTTCTTTCCTCTCCCTCCTCTCCTTCACTTCCTGTTGCAGAACGTCTTCACGCTCAGCCTTCGCGTCTTCTCGCATCTCCCGCTCCAGGAACTCTTCATGACCCTCCTCATCCTCCTTCACGTGGCGGACATGGCTCTTCAGCGCCTGCCTCTGCGCCTCCTTCACCTCCTCCTGCTTGCGCGAGTCTGCCTTCTCCTCCCTCTCCGTTGCTTTCTCGAATCGTTGCAGCTCGTGCTCGTTGCGGTAAACCTCCCTCTCATGCCTTGCCGCTGCCTCACTCTGCAGGTCTCTCTCAAGCGCAAGTCTCCGCTCGAACCTTGAGGGCAAGGGTGTCAGCGCTCATCAGGTCTGAGGGAGGGAGAGAGGAGGGACACACAAACTTACTGCTCCTCGCTCTCATTGGAGTGCAACGATGGGGAGCCCGACCCTCTCTCGCTTCTCCTTCCACTCGCACGCATCTGGAACAGGTTTCAGCAAGTAGGCAAGGCCCGAGTTTCAGCTTTGACCTCTCCTGCCAGATTCCCGAGACGATCCAGCGCCTTCTGTGCTGCTTCAAGATCCCCCGAAACACTCTCGCCGGAATGGTCTCCTCTCTCTCCATCCTTCCTGCCACTGTACCCTTGCGGATCTTCGGCGGCCGATTCAACATCCATGGCAGACTCTTCCAGCGACTGCGGGCCATTGCTGGCGCCTAACAAGGGCATGGGAGAATCGGGAAATGAGGAAAGAGATCCGAAAGCGTTGAACATCTCGCGGCTCTTAGACTCTCGTACCCTGAAAATCACATCATGTCAGGCTCAAGAGCGGGAGGGATCAGCAGCGGGGTGAATATGAGCAGCACCTTCCGAGGACGCCGACATCTTCTTTGTTAGCAGATGCCCATATAGATGGTAGAAGGATCAGCAGAAGGAAAATGAGTCGGCAAGCCATGACGGAAGCGCAATTCGTTCTAGGAAGACACTGGTCAACTAGAGCCAAGAGACATCAGCATACAATCGTTCCTCACTTCCTCTACCTGCGTGTTCTGCTCAGAGTCTCTTCTCCTCCTCTTCTTTCAGCATGCCTCCTTCAAGCCCTGTCCCGCCACCCGCTGCCAGGCATCCATGGGAGCTGCTTGGGTTTCGCTATTTTGGGATAACGGTTTATAACGGTCTGTAACGTCGAGATCCGAGTCACAGTTACGGTTCATCAGTGGCCGCCGCCCGGCCGCCCGGGCGGCGCCGGGCCTGGCCCAGGGGCCGAGGGACCGGCCGGTGCTCACGTGCTTGAGCCGGGCCCGGCGGGGCCGCCTTGACTCACTGGCTGTTGAGTAAAGAGTGAGGAGCCCGCGGTTCAAACGTTGAACAGTTCGGAAGGACGAGGCGGCACTCACTGGCCCGCGGAACTTAGATCCGATCAGACTCGCCGCCGAGTCGGACTCCCGGGCCGGGCGGCCCCGCGGCCCCTGGCACGGTGGCCGCGCCGCGGGCGTGGCCCGGCGGCCCGGCCCCTGACGGCCGGGTGCAGCCTCACTGACTCAGGGCACTGACACGCGAGTCGGCCACTGCCACCGTTTGACGGACACCGGGGCGTGACGTTCGGACGGTTACTGGGACTCCCGGACGGTTATGTTATGTAACTCGGATGCGACACTTCCCGAATTGCTTTAGGAAGTGATCAAAAATTGCAAACTTGTGTAAGGCTTTGAAATTAATGAGGAAGATTCCAAATCAGAGATTCTGTCAGAACTCACCTAGGGTTTGACCGCAGCCGACACCATGTAAGTAGCCCTGGCTTGATCTCGCTCATGGCGAGCCAGCGACTTGGAGGAGGAAGAGGAGGAGAGGACAGAGGAGATGGTACCAGCAGTCAGCGTTTTGGGGATCATCGGAGGGATGGCCCGCACGGCATTGATGGCATGATGATGGAGAGCAGCAGTGAGGAGGAAACCAATATGCATGTACGATCGAATAAGAACCATGGGAGACATCCCTCGCTATGACTCTAATCTCCAACAAATATCTCTCATGGCTGATTGTACGGCCGCTATGTCGCAGGGGCAATGCTTCCAGCGGACTAGACGCCCTGTCGTGCTGCGAGAAAGCCGAGCGGCCCAAGTAAGCCTTGTGCAAGTCTGTTTGGAGTCTGACAATGCTCGTCGTCAAGCAGAGAGAGCTATGAGAAGCTTGATGGAGAGCTCGTGATGCTACAGAATGCTGTGATCCGTGGAGATGAGAAGTAAGCCTCTTCCGTCGCTTCCTTTTGGCGGAGAAGTTTGACAATGAGCATCCTAGGACAGTGGAAGTGATCCTGTCAAGGGCTCGGAGGATCGGCATCATCAACTATCAGGATTACGCAGGCCGGACCTGCCTGCATCATGCGGTCTGCCTCATCCAGTACATGCTTTCCTTCGCCTGACTCGCGATGTGCTCCCAGGCACAGAACGGTCATGCACGAATCGCTCGCATCCTGTTGGAGTACAACGCGGATCCGATCCTCAAGGTAGGAGGGAGTTCGGCTGTCGCTGCGGCTGCGAGGTTGCGTGATGATATGTCTCTGAGTCGCCGCACAGAATAAGGAGGGGAAGACCGCGCTGCAGATGGCGATGGAGAATGGTCACCACAACGTGGTCGAGGTGAGCGGTAGCGACCTGATCACCGTTCTTGATCCTGAGACCGCTCTTGTTCTTGCGCAGGTGTTGCTGCAGACCAAGACCAACTCTACCACGGGGAAGCCCAAGATTGGGAATGAAGTGCCGACGGTGACCGCCTCTTCTCTCGTTGGAGAGTGTCAAAGTTGTGATCTTGCATCTGTTGTCCTATCTAGCTGTACAGCATGGATGTCGAAGCTCTGCATGCAGACGCAGCAGACAAGTACTTCAAGGGTGACTATGCAGGTGCGGAGGATTTGTACAAGAAGGTAAAGAGAATCCAAGTGATCTTCTGGCGGATTTCAGCTCAAAGTTGGATGCAGGCCTTAGCTGCCAACCCGAAGCATCTGAGAAGTTTGTGTAACTACGGAGCACTGCTCCACAACATCAAGAACGAGTACGACAAGGTTCGTTGAGAAGCTTTGCCTTCCTTCCTGTTCTGTGTTGTTGCTGACTGCCGCCAGGCTGCGGAGATGTATTCGGCAGCCCTGAAAGTGGACAAGAATGATGTGGTGCGAGCACTGAACAGTGGGCTGACAACAGCAAGTTGAACAGGGAGGACGCAGGTCACACTCTACAACTATGCCCTGTTGCTGGAGGTGGCAAAGAAGGGTCTGTCCCCGCGATCGCCTGCTCCCTGCGTGTTCACTTGTTGAGGCAGACTACCTCGGAGCTGAACGGCTCTACCTCCGAGCTCTCCAAGTCGACCCCATGTGAGGGCGTCCTTTCTTTACCCTCGATGGACTCTGACGTCATCAGGCATGTCGACACCCTGGTCAACTACGGCTCTCTGTTGAAGACCGTACACAACGAGCTGGGAACAGCCGAGAAGGTCGAACTCAGACTTCCCTCCGCCTTCCCCCCTTCTTCGGTCGGGTTTGTGACATGTTCCCTCAGATGTACGTCACGGCGCTGCAAGTAGAGCCGAATCACGGTCTCCTCCTCCCATTCCGATGAGATCAACATTTACTGACTTCGCCCGCCCGCCCCTTCCTGCCCCTCCTAACCATGACAGTGGACGCCCTCTGCAACTACGCCCTCCTGCTGCGAGATGGCCTTGGGAACAAGGAGAAGGTGAGGGGTGAGGATCTTGGGTTGCTATCGTCCTCACGCGCATGGATGTCACAGGCTCGATCTCTCATCCAGCACGCCCTCGTGAGTCCTTGTGTCATCCTCCTCCTCCCCTGACCTGATGCTGTGCAGGAGGTTGCGCCCGATGACGAATGGCTGAAGAAGCACGCAAGTGCGTTCTGACGTCTCCGCTGACACTTTTAGAAAACGAGAATGATGTGCATTGAGAATTATTTTTTTCCCCTGTCGTTGTAAAGGCAAAACGTTTTATTTCTACACTTTGATGACACGAAAAGGTAAGCACTTGCAAGCAGACCATACAAAAACAACAAGAAAGGGTTCCGTCTTGTTCGATCTCCATCTGATCACGGATTCTGCAATCTCGATACAAGTTGCTCGGTAATGTCACAATAACATACAAGGGTTCAATCAATCAAATCACTAGAGCTAGGCACGAACAACCATGTCACTGCTCTTCATCACTGCAAGGTCATACAGATGCTTCCCAAGTTGCTTCTCAATCTCTGTTGCTCCGCACTGTACAAGCCCTCTTGCCAGCTCCTTGTCTCCCCTCTCACTCATGAGCGACACGGCCGAAGAGGCTCCGAACATTCCATTCACCCCAAGGATGTCGTCGATGAACAGGGCCTCTTGTTTGGTGTCCTCAAGCTTCGCCATAGCTGATGACTTCACTGTCAACTTGCCAGAGCAGGTAGCGGCGTAAGCAAGCCAGTGGTGTATTCTGCTCGGAGGAGCATTGACGCTTGGAAACAAAGTCCCCACAACCTCCCCGTTAAATATTCTGGAGACGTTTGCGATGTTGCTGCCGTTGGCAATGATCGCACATGCACCCCCATCGGCTGCTGTCTTGGCAGCACTAATCTTCGACGCCATTCCGCCTCTCCCAAAAGAAGACTTGTTGCTGATGTTGACGTCGCTGTCTTGAGAAAACAAGCTAATCCTCTTGGCTCCCTGAATTTCCGGAGGTCTGGTGTAGACACCATCCACATCAGTCATGATGGCGACTGCGTTGGCTTGAACTCCCGCAGCAACAAGAGCAGACAGCATATCATTGTCGCTGAAGCATCTCTCCTTGTCCAACTCCTGGCAACCCGTGACGACGTCGTTCTCGTTGATAATGGGGATCATTCCCTGCTTCATGATCTTTTCGATGGTATCCGTCAGGTACGTGTACCGCTGAGGAGACGAGAAGTCTTGCTGTGTGAGGAGCACCTGAGCACACTCCATGCCTAGCGCCGAGCACATGGAGTAGTAGGTGCTCATCAGCATTTCTTGTCCCGTAGCCGCGCAAGCTTGTCGGTCGATGACGTTTGCGGGATCAGCTATCACATCCTTCTCCATTCCAAGGATGCATCGGCCGAGACCGACAGCCCCGCTGCTGACCAAGAGAACTTCTCGCCCTTGCTGCTTGAGGATCCTCAGCTGCTCGACAAGCCCGCCAATCTTTGAGAGGGACAGATGGCCATTGGGGTTGATGACGACGCTGCTGCCAACCTTGATCACGACACGGTTGGCTTTCTTGAGGTTTTCCCTTTTCTCGATCTCATTCACGTTCTTTGAGTTGGGAAAAGCGCTCAAGTGTGTGAGCAACCGACTATAGCCGGCAGTGCGGAGTGCGTTTTGACAAATGATCTTTCGCATCATTTTGCATGTATTTTCGTCGAATCGATGGCTGATGTGATATGAATGGTAGCAAAGCTCTCAGTGGCTGGTGTGTCAGACTCGTGACGAGACTCTTCTTCTTCTTCTTCTTCTTCTAATCCGTTTCCTCGCGTCCCACAAACGGGTGATCCAATCAGGTGGTAAGGTCCCTCCCCTCCCCTTTATCTCGTGCCAGCAGACTTATCCCGATCACGTTACCTCCACCCCCACCCCCACCTGTTTTTGTCCGTGTAAACAATGAATAACCCACCCCCAGAAGTACTCCCCCGATCCACAAACGCCCCCTACCCCACCCCATGAGTTTCAGTGATTCTGTTACACAAACACCCTACCCAGACCCAATACGACGATTCGAGTACCCTACCCTGAAGATCCATGTTGACTCTTACCGTTCCAAAAAGGCCACCCCTTACCCCTTTCACCCCACCACCAGATGGTTTATCCCACCCCTGCAGCCCAGGATATGGCTTCACCAATTCCGTTAGATGCTGACATGAAAGGGACTCATCACCCCACCCCTTCCCTTGATGTACCCACCCCTTCTACTGTTTCGACTTCCTTCCACCCCTACCCCCTGTCAACGAATGATAGCTTGCACATTCTTTTTTCCAAGCTGCAGCGTCCGTTATACCCGTGGAGAAGCTGGTACAAAATATAAAACTATTTATTGATTTCTCCGTACAGTTGCTTCACTGCTGGTAGAAAACTATGGTACACTTTATGGAAATGATCTTTCCTCAAAAGGCTAATATTGGGTGGAGGACGAGTCATGGTAGGAACTAAAATCTAAATTTAGCCTTCCAGTACCCTCGTGCCAGGTACATTGCACAGATAAATGATTTTAGAGGGTGGAAGGAAGGGGATCCAATGTACCCCAGCAAGCATTTGTTACATCTTTACTCAGCGCACAGTAAGATTTTATAACCTAAAACTCAGATCCTCGTCCCAGAATATCACTTTAAAAATAGTTTTATACCCCCGGTACGTGTTGCTGACGGAGAGTTGCGACCTCCACCCTTTATCCCTGCGATCGGCCCAATTCCTCGGGAAACTGGTGGGTAGTTACAGGGATGACTGGAGGTGGGGGTCCTTTCCGAGCCCTTGCGCTACTACACCGCCTCAGCACGAGCGACTGGTCGGCACAAAAACCCCATTCGAACAGATTCGAACGGACCACCCACCCCCCACCCCTACCACTGGAGATATCAGTCGACCACCCCTTGCAGCCCCTCCCTGTGACCTGCGCCGCTCAGATCGCAAGTGCTGATTCAGTGAGCATCGACCCTTTGGACCCCGTCCACCAGTGCACTTGCCGGTCGTATAAACTGGGCCCAGCCTCGGACCAGACTCTGAGAGGGGGGTGGGGTCATCCTTGAGAACGTTTACTACCGCTGACAAAGGCCCTACGCCCGCTTCACTCCATGGTCAAACAGTGGTCAATCAGGCAGGTCAAAGGTGGTCAACTGAGAGGTTGTGTTCCGAAGTTCCCAAGGAGTAGTGTGCATACCGAAGTACCCCTCGATTCAGGGATCCACTGGTAGGTTCAACAAAGGGGGCAGGGTAGGTCACCTGCAGTCAAACCGTGGTCAAAATCACCTGCAGGGAAGGGGAGGGGGGCCGCCAGTAAAGCGGTCATCACGGCTGCACGGGAGGTGCTAACGAGATACCGGACGTTGTTGAACGCTCATAATATTATGGATAAATACCACAATTATATCATAAACGGTACCTCGTCATCGATTTTGTATAATTCTATAACAGCCCTTGACGAGGAGGACGTGGCGGTTTCGTGGGTAATTATGTATAATTATATCAACATTATGTATAATATGATAACGATGCGAAACGATGTGTCTTTGATTCAATTCACCCGCGAATCGAGTACCCCTACCCCTCTTCTACCCCTAAAACCACGCCGATGTTACCCGTCAGGTCCCCCTTGCCCGCCCAGATAAAAAGAAGCACTTGATGGATCTGGAAGCAACCCACGCCGCCAAGTCAACCAGACCCTGCAGAAGCATCGAGGAGCAAAGAGCACACAACAGCCTCATACCAATAGGAAGAAGCTGACGCGGAGACTTCGTCAAGAACAGATACAACAGTATATTTCAAGCCTTACGTTTTCCCGACATGTTCTGGCAAAGGATTGTCGTAGCTAGACCGCTTGTGGCACAAGCCATCAACCGAAGGATGTTATCGTCTGCCTTGAGTCAAGCAACAGTGACCGCTACAAGGACAGAACTTCACAACTACCAACAAGCTTCCAAGCCCTCACTAGCGGCGAAGAACAAATCAAGTTCGGAATACGATCTCAGCTCAATCATCCCTCTCAAGTCTCGGAGTGAATATAAGGAGATTGTCCGCAAATACAACCAGAAGCGGTCTAAATAATAAAAGACTGACAGGCTGTATTGATTCGGAGCTGTGCATTAGGTGTATGTTCACCACGATCTTCTCGTAGTAGTTGAGCATATTGCAAATTCAGCCGGAATGTTATAGTATTTCATTGTGTCATAGTAGTTTGGCATATTGCAAATGCAGCCAGCAAGTTATGGTATGCTTTTATTGTGTAAATACAGAAGCAAAAAAACTACAAATCATATGTTTTCTTCTGCTTGGGTATCTTCAAATCAATCTATACCAGAGAAATTAGTCGGTTTGGGTGTGAAGGACATCTCACTTGTACCTCCCTTCCATGATCCGCTACGAACTTCGCATCCAAGAAGTTGAAATTATCATCGACATCATCGTTTTCCACCTGCACTCCGAGCTCTCCTACGATACGATTAGCCAACAAGTCTGTGTAGGTATCAATGAACCATATCCTTTATCACCATGTACGACAAATTTGATCTGCCATCATATCCAGTCAGGAACAGGCGATCAACAAGTCACGATACATCATATCTCTTTTTGCCATCGATCGATGAAATTTGCACAGTGGTTGGCATTGTAGCTTGAATATGCCCAAGCATCTAATCATAGTCAGCATTGCTGGGTGTCGGACTAAAGTGATGCCATCAACTTGCCTTGGTAGCCTCAGGGCTATTTCGCAGAATTTCCAATGCCTGCGAAATTCAGATGTCATGAACCTGCATCGCAAAAGCTTTCAGTAATGAAGGGGACCTTCTGCTGAATATCCTCGATCTCCTGGCCGACGTCCAAACCCAAATTTATCACCTTCCTGATGAGATACAGTCAGGCTCTTTCAACTCCTTCGCACTCGATTACCCTATGAACGGAAACATATTCGCAAAGCCTGAACTAGCATTGTTCGCAACACTGGAATCATTCCGAAACAGTTCTCCTGGGTGCGATTCCTCTGCCTTGCCCCGTGCCTTATTCCAATATTTCTGTTGAAAGAGCAAGGAAAGTAAGTGTTGCCATCATGTTGCGCAGAAGAAATGAAGTCTTACGCTGAACCACGGATTTCTCTGCAGAGTGCGAATGAATTCGGTACCTTTCAACTTTCTCCAGGCGAACCATCCTAGCTGAAAACATCAAGCGTCATCACCAGACGACCACAGCCAGTCCAGTGCCGCTCACAGCAGCAAGAGCGACGGTGCCAATTATGAAAGTTCCTGCTCCAGCCATCTCAACAAGGTCCACATCTCTATCAGGGCCTCACCTATCGTGACGATGACGCTGAAGAAGGAAATGACTGTGAGAATGATCAATCACCCACCCCTCAGACCGTATGGCTTTCACACACCGAATGCGACCAAGAGCACTCCACCCGCTAGCTTCCACAGCTGATCCTTCCAAGAAGGAGGGGGGCCGTAGTGAAAATGGCGCGGCCGGAAAACTCCGCGGCCTGGCAGCCTCTGCTGTCCACTTGGCACAACTCGTGCTGTGCCAGTGATCGTTCCCTTGGTTGCAGCAGCATCCCCGTAACTCCTTTTCGATGTCGTATTGCTCACTCTGGCTGACAAGCTGTTGCAGGAGTTGGTCGTTTGCAATAATGCTCGGCTGCCATAGCTTGTGCCCCAGGAGACTTTACTCGCTGCTCCGCACAAACATCTGCCATACCTTACGTCAGTTAGGGGAAACTTTCTATGTCAACAAACAGACCTGATCTTGAGCTGGGTGCTCATTATAGAGTATGGAGAACCTATCACGTTCTGAATCCATGAAACCCCGCGACTCACATGCCAAGAAGGATCCTGATGTTGAATGTTCATTGTCCTGGGATTGAAACTCAAATACAATGGACTCCGCACATTTCCGCCCTTGGGCTTCATCGAGGCCTCGGCCTGCGGTGAGCTACTGCTGCCTCGAGTCGCATGCCTTGCACACCCACGCGCCACCATCGCCGCGCGTTCCGCCCATCGCGCTAACACCCCAGCCCTCGTTGCCATGCTGCTGCTCCAAGAAGGCGTCAGGCCAAGCCCATTCAGGAAGTGCAATGCCGTTAACAAAACGTAACCGTTATTCTAGATCGCCCCGATGCCCTACTCAGGGGGTACTCATATAAAAGGGGTACATTTGCTGTCTTTGGAGGGGTACTCAGAATTACATGGGGGGTGGAGTGGGGCTAGTGGATAGGGCTAATACCAGGGGATCATTTGTGGTGAGTTGTATGGGTGGGGGTAGAGGGCGAGGCGGACCCAGACAGGTGCGAACATGCGGAGAGGAGAGGCAGGAGAGGGGGAGGAGATGGGAAAGGGAGAGGGGGGAGACAGGGGGAAGACAGGGATAAAGTGATGGAGGGAACCGAATATGATGGTGGAATATGCATTTGCTGATGAACAGCAGGGGATGCAGGCAGCACATTGCTGAGCAGGGCAGGAAGGGTCATGCATACAGACAGTTGAGGGAAGATCAGGAGAGGGCAGGGAGCAGGGAGCATGCAAATGACTGGAATGTAGGAAGAATGCAGTAGAGTATTCAAGAATAGATAGATGGCAAGATGAAATGCCCTGGGCAAGCATGCCCAGTGGCATATGACGATGATTTTCGCTGAATGGCTGCTACGTCAAATGAGTATCAAGAGGTGGCTTAGCAAGGAACCAGTTTGCAGCTGTCAGCTTCTTTTCTGGTGTTTTGATTAATTTTTGGCAAAGAGAACATGCTCGACCATCCAGCTTCCCCCCTTTCCTCTTTGCTGACATAGAACAGTCATGATGCATTGGAAACTTACTCTGTTCTTTGCAGGATACGGCCGGAGGACAACGACGTTCTGATCGAACGCGCTAGGATGGAGCTCTTTCCCATTCAATCTTTGACGGACCAGTACGACTTCTCGCCACCTTCCCTTCCACTCTGTGCCGATCCTGCTTGTGTCTTCATCCTGACTTATCTTTCCCCTGGATTCCCTTTTCCAATGAGCGATGTTTGCTGGCATCCACGCCCCCCGTTCCTGTTCCTTTTTTTCCTCTTTCCCACGATCAGCTGATGGTAGAATCCTCCAGGTATCTTGCGGATCTAGATGGGCTCGATGATAGCGCAGGAGAGGAGGAGGTGGCGGCCGATGGAAACTCAGAGGAGGAGATGGACCAGGACAAGGAGTTCGACGAGGACGCGGCTGAGATGGATGCCACCAAGGAGCTGTCGGCGCTTACGAGGCTGTATGGAAGGTGCTCCTTGCTGCTCCTTGCTGCTCCATGACGAGAGCTGGTTCGCAGCGAGAACCTGAGGCAGCACATGGAGAGAATCAAGCAGAGTTTGAATCGCTCGACGCCAGCCCCCTACACGCCAGAGTACCGAGAGGTGAGTCGTGCAAGGCGCTCGAGCAAGTTGTTTGACTGGTGCTGTCAGGACTACGAGCTCGTCTGCAAGAGCAATGAGATTGTGTAAGAGAGCTTAGTGTTTTCCGAAAGCTGTTGGGACGCTTACCGTGGCTTTGTAGTTATGAGCTCGAGCAGGAGACTTTTGCACTGACCACATACATCCGTCAAGGTGATGACGTATCATGCTACTCAGTTATCTACTTGTCCACGGAGACTGTTTGCAGAGGGTGTTTTGACTTGGATGTTTGACCTTATCGCTGAGTTTTTTGTGTGTTGCCATTGGAGGGCTAACTTGCATCGCAGGGTACGCAATCAGATTCCCTGAGCTCGAAGCCCTCATACAGAACAATCTGGTGCACTTGCTCGCACTGTCCGTGGACATCTTGACGTGAGACTGCGCAACAGGATTATGTCCGTACGGTGTACAAGTTGGGAAACATCCCAGGAGGTGACGCTACGCAAGTCGACCTGTCAGGAGTCCTTCCAAGGTCAGTGCACCAGCAAGCAGAGGAGGAGGAGGCAAGAGACCTGGAGGAGGGAGATTAGGAAGGGGGAGGAGAGCTGGGGGCTCAAAGGAGGAGGAGAAAGGGTTTGACTTGGTCGTTGTATAGTGCCACAATCATGGTTGTCACTGTCACCGCAACGACGACCTCAGGAAAGGAGCTTCCTCAGGATCAGCTGGAAAAGGTCAGGCAGAGCGTCTTGGGCTGTTCTTCACCCCTGAGCTCCTGTACAGGTCATGACGGCCTGCGAGCAAACCTTGAAGCTGGAGGAGAACAGACTGGTAATTGAGAGAAGAGAAGCTAGCAAGAGGAAGCGAAGTGTGGGAAATTGTATGGGAGGGTGTACATGGCGTAGAGTAGAGATGGATCAGTGAAATGATTATGACGAGAATCACTAACTTGCTCTTTGCAGGAAATTTTGGACTTTATAGAGTCTCGCATGAACATTCTTGCACCTAATCTGACGATCATCGTGGTATCTCTTCCTCCTCTCTCCCATTCCCCAACCTCCTCCTCCTCTACCACCAACTCTTCTCGACTTGAGCATGCGGGCCAGGGCTCGAAGGTCGCCGCCACCATGATGGCCATGGCTGGAGGACTGCAGGTGAAACGCGATCTCGGGATGGGAGGTGGACGAGGAGGAGGACTGACGAGCAGGACGCAGGAGCTCTCCCGAATGCCTTCCTGCAATATCCGCATCATGGGAGCGAAGCGAAAGGTTCAGAACGGAATGTCGACAGCTGCACTTGGAGTCAGAGGAGGCATCATTGTTCAGAGCCCCCTCGTGTTGAACAGGTCTTCCCCTCCTCCTCCTCCTCCACCACCACCACCACCACCACTACCACCACCACCATCTCCTCTTCCTCTTCCTCTCCACTTCGACACTTTCTGTTCCCATATCATAGTCCTACTGTTTGCATCCCCCGTCCCTTCTCCTTGTTGTAATCTTCTCCTCTTACTCCTCCACCTTCACTTCCACCTCTCCTTTCTGCCCCTTGAATACCCGCAGTTCATTCTTTCTTACCTGCTGTGCAGCCCCCAAGAATTCCGTGAGAAAGCAGTGAAGCTGGTAAGCTCCTGCAGCTCCTTTTCCATCCTTCCCCCGTCCCCTTGCTTCTCCATCCCTCTCAACCTCGACACCACCACCACCCCTCCCCTCCTCGTCACCACCACCCCTCCTTCTTCCTGAGTTACTCTTCTCATTCTCTGCCACCAGATCAGCGCCAAGTGCGCGCTTGCAGCTCGAGTTGACGCTTCCATCGAGTCTCCGTCCGGCGAAGTCGGAAAGAAGTAAGAGGAGAGGAGTGGTCAGACGAGAGGGAAGGGGAGGAGAGGGAAGGGGAAGGGAGGGAAGGGGAGGAGAGAGGAAAGGAGAGGAGAGAGGAGAGGAGAGGAGAGAGGAGCAGGAGCAGGAAGCATGTAGCATTCTGCCATCGTCCTGACGGATTTGCAGGCTCAAGGATCAGATTGAAGAATCGCTCGCAAAGGTCGCTGAGCCTCCTCCTCAGAAGCGCCACAAGGTCGACGGGAGCGAGGGAGGGGAACGGGAGGACGACTGACGCGCGGGACAGGCTCTCCCTGTGCCAGACGAGAAGCCCAAGAAGAGACGAGGAGGGAAGCGAGCCAGGGCGATCAAGGAGAAGTATGCTACTACAGAGCTGATGAAGCAGGTGAGAGGAGGAGGGCGGAGGCCGACCCGGCTGACGTTGTGTGGAAGGCCAATCGCATGCAGTTTGGAGTGCAGGAGGAAGAAGTTTTTGGAGGAACAGACGAGACGATGGTAGAGACTTTTTCTGAGCGTTCATCCACCTTGTCCTCCTCCATCTTCCGCTGCGCTCCTCCTTCTCTCCCTTTCGCCCTCCCTTGTCTCATCCTTCCCTTCCTCCTGACCTCACTCTCATCAAGGGACTCGGATCGCTCGGAAAGTTGGCGCACAGCGGGAAGCTGAGGATACAGAAGAAGGAGGTGGGAAGAGAGGGAGAGAGGAGAGGGAGATGACCGGGGAGTTGCAGGTCAAGCTTCTCAATCAGAAGGCGAGGGAGAGGAACGGGTTGACGTCGGCAGTCAAGGGTCAAACCCACGGCCTCGTCTCTTCCGTAGTCATGAACTCCACCACTGGTACGGGAGGGATGCGCGGAAGAGGAGCGGGGGCAGGAGCAGGAGCAGAGAAAGTGGAAGGAGCAGAGACGGGGGTTGAAGAAAGAAGGAAGAGGATAGGAAGGGTAGGAGGAAGCGACATGCTCTGATTTCTGGCTTACAGGCATGGTGTTCCAAGCCATGGCGAGCGATGGCACAGGAACTGTCACTCCGTTGGCCTCTAGCAAGGTCCTTGCCGCTCTCATCCTCACTGCCCTTCCTCCTCTTGTTTCCCATCCCCGTCCGCCCACATGCACTCATGCTCTTGACTCCCCTCCCTCCCTCCCTCCCTCCCTCCCTCCCTCCTTCCCTCCCTCCCTCCCTCCCTCCCTCCCTCCCTCCCTCCTTTCTTATCCTCCCCCCTCCCTCCTTCCTCCTCTGACGCTCCTCAGGCCTTCATGAACAAGGCGGCGAGCAAATACTTCGAGGGTCAAGACTTCTTCAAGAAGTCCGGCAAGGACGACAAGGAGCTCATGCCGCCCCCGCTACCAAAGAAGAAATGAAGAGACAGCAGGCTGAGGGAGGGGGAGGAGGAGGAGGAAGAGGAGGAGGGTGGAAATAGTTGGTTACATGCTCCCGTCCTCCAACAAGAATGCCGTAACATTACTTAAGTTTCATTCCTTATTCTCCTCCTCATTTCTTTCCCCATCCTCAGTTTCGTCCTCCCCCTCCTTCTCTTCCTCATTCTTCCATCCCCCCCCCTCCGTGTTCCCTGTCTCCTCCCCTTCCTCCTCCTCCCGTCTTCCCTTCTCCTCCTCCTCCTGTCTTCCCTTCTCCTCTTCCTTCCTGCCGGCTTTCCGCATCTGCACCTGATCGAGCTGGACATGGACAGTCCCGATGCTCGGGTTGCTGAACTTGACGCGGATCTTGGACGAGCGGGAGCTGTAGGAGTCCAGTAGCCCCTCGTACCACTTGCCGTCCTCGAAGAGGATGCTGACTCTCTCGCCCCGCGCGAACTCTTCTCCTCTATGCCGGAACAGACTCCTCTCCTCCTCCTTAGCGGTCAACGACGCCTTCATCTCCCTGCTCAGACTCTCGGAGAACCACTGCTGCATCCTCGACTCCAGCGACAACGATAAGTCTGCCGACTCGCCGCTCGTCTCCAGCGCGTCCTCGATCAGGGAGAGAAACTGCTGGTTCTGCTCCTTGAGCAGCTGCTGGGATAGCAGGAGACTCTCCGAAGAGAAGGCCAGGCCTCCTCCTCCTCCGCCTCCGCCTCCTCCTCTGTGACCCAGAGAGCTGCTAGCTTGAGGGCCCAGCCAGGCGTTGGCTGACACGGGACGTTGCCCTGCAAAGTGCTGGGAGATGTGCATGGAGCAGACGCCTCCGAGCGACTGAGAGCAGAGCTCGCAAGCGGCTCCTCTGCTCTGGTTGTGCTTCATGGGCTTCAGTACCACAAAGAGAACGCCCGAGTTGCTCAGCCCCAGGGTCTCTGCCGTGAGCATGTCGTCGTCAAGGTACTTGCCCCGGTACAGGAACCTCTGGTAGTCCACTGGCGTCCCTTCTGCACTCGCTACCCGCTGCTTCAGCGACCTGATCGTCTCCTGCGGGTCCACGTGGAGCTTCAGCTCCAGCCCTCGTCTCCTCGTGTCCGCTGCTGTGTAGACCTTCACCGTCAGCCCCTCCTCCTTGTGCTGCTGCTGCTGCTGCTGCTGCAAGAGCTGGCTCCGCTCCTGCCGCAGCGACCCTTCCCAGTGCACCGCAAGGTGCCGCACGCAGGTCCCTCCGAGGGAGGAGAAGCATTCAGGGCAGCCGTAGGTCTTGGGCACGTGCTTCCTTGCCTCGGACACCAGCGACGTCCGGCGGTCGAGGTTGGAGAGCAACTTGGGCTTGAGCCGCTTGAGCACTTTCTTCTTCGCCTCCCCTTGCTGCCGGTGGCTGCTTCCCTCCTCCAAGATGGTCGGAGTGGTTGCGACGTCGCTGCTGAACGATGGCGCATGGTTGGGTTTGATGCTCAGGACGATCCGCTTCCGTGACGTGGGAGTGGTTGAAGGATGTAGGGACTCAGGAACCCTGCGGTCGAGCTGGTAGGAAGGGGAGAGGGACAGCAGGTCGCTGAGCTCCAGCTGGTCCTTGTTTGCGTAGTAACCCTGCATTGAACTTCCTGACAGGTCCGGGGGACGAGGCTGTTTCCTGCCCTTGCTCTCCCTCTCTTCTCCCAGCTTCTTCCCTTCCGACGGCACCCTCGACGCCTCACTCAACGCATACCCATCGTTGGAAGAGCTCTCCTGTTGTCTGCTCCTCCTCGAACGCGTCTTCTTAGGAGCTCGCTTCCCTCTGCGGACTTGGATCCGCCTTCACATCCTGCAGGCTCCGGTGTCGTCCTCTCTTTGCCCTTGGACTGCTTCTTCCTCGCTCGTTTGCTGCCCCACGTCTTTCTCTCGATCCTCCCCATCACCTCTTTCTGCAGCGCGCGTCCCAGGTACGCCTGCATCAGCTGCTGATGCTTCATCTCATACAAACTTCTGCCTGACCGCTTCCATAAGGGGCTCCAGCACACAAAAAACTCCTCACCTTCGTCCTCCTGCTTGCGCAAACTCCAGAAGTACTTTAGCCCTCTCGTCTCCTCAAAGTCCAAGGGAACGTTGTAACTCTAGGGCAGACAGGGTCAGGCAGGCAGGGCAGGGCTCACTACTGCTATACCATGTCCCTTCCTTGCAGCTTCGCCATGGAGGACTTGGGTCGCTCGCCTCGGCTCTGCTGCATCGAAAGCTCTTCATATCCCCTCCACAAGCTCTCGTCCTGTCCAGGAAACCTGCACGCGCATCCGATCAGAGGGTGCAAGCTCGTGCGAGTCTCGAGGCTTGCCTGACTGACGCTTCTCCATACACGTCGATGGCACGCCTGGGATATTCAGGTCTCCTCCCCTGCTGCCTGGCGGGCGGCTGCTCACTTGCTGCCCTCTTGTCAGACATCTCGTGCGAAAACTTCATGAGATGCTGCCGAATGTCACGGGCAGGCCTGATGGAGGGAGTGAGAGAGCGAAGAGCAGAAGGGAAAAGAGAAATGTGCTTCGGCGACTAGAAGGCAAGGGAGGGTAAGATGCGGGGGAGCGGAGGAGCATGGAGGTGGTAGAGGAGAGACGAGCAGACAGAGGAGAGGAAGAGGAGGAAAGCTCACTCACAAATTGCACAGCTCTCTGAACTCATCGCTGATAGCGCGCTGAGGAGACGGTCCGTCATTGAACCCCGCCATGGTCGACGACTCAGTGAGCTCAAGCTGCTCCCAGCCGCGTGTCAGCCGTCCGGTCCTTGCTCAGCTACCGCTACTGGGCATGCGATGCAGCCAGTGAGGGCCTCCTCTGCTTCCCGTGCCCTTTCAACTGGAGACGCCTGTCCTAGCTGACCAGTGGTACGGTTCTTGTCGCTGCGATGATTTTCACTAAGCTGATGAGGGTCGTTGCTGATTAGAGTTGACGAGAGGGTGTAGGAGAGAAGCTTGTAGGGCAGACAATCTCGTTACAGACGTCTGCTGATCGCAGTAGCTTGCTATTGCTTGTAACGGTTCTCAGGCTAATTCGTTGATGATGTTTTAGCGCATGCCAGCTTCAGAAACTTGTACCGATCTTCGATCTGCTTGCTAGCTACCTGCTCGTTTCTGTCTTTCTTTACTCGTCTCCTCCTCCTTCCTCCTGCTCTGCTGCCGCTGCTCCCCTCACGCGCCCTTCTCGCTCCAACGGCTGCGGCGAGCCTGCCATTTCTACCGGCCTAAGTGTTGCAACCGATTCAATTCATGCTAAATCGAAAACAATCAGATTGACAAGAAATTGAATCGATTAAATTCAGATATTGTGATCATAGAGGTAGGGTACCAGTAGCGGCTATTCACGACTTTCGTATGGTGGGGTACCTAGTTGGTAATTGGTGGGTAGTCAAGTGAATCACGGGGTGGGTAGGACAGGAATGGGTGATCAAAAGTGCTGGGGTAGGTGGGTGGCTGTAGGTGGGTGGGGTGGATAGGAGAATGGGGATGAGGGGCATCGGTGCCTGTTCATAACCGGCATGGGAATGAGGAAATGGGGTTTCATGGGCTGGCGGCCCTGGCGGCTGCCATGATGCTGGTGGGAGGATGGAGTAGGACGAGATTTCATGCTGCAGATCCTGTCGCTGCACTCTCCTCATTCCCTGATCCTATGTCTGGAAGGAAGTCTGAGTTCGAACGAGGTCAGTTGCTGGCCAGGGACGCTGGTTACCTCCCTCCTACCCCACAGCAGGAGCCGGATGCAACTGTGACTTCACAGGCAAGAAGACAAGATTTCTTGCAGACCTTCTCTAGGAGCAAGAGGTTTCAGGCGAGAAAGCCTTCTGATCTGGTCGAGATGGCGATCAATGACATTCAAAAGGAGCATGAAAAGCGCATGTCTAGGTTGCTGAAGGATGACATGGACAACGCTGCTAAGCAGTATGCAGACATGATGACCAAAGAGATATCAACACAGAATGCGTATGTTAGATCCCGCAGGCGTGCGTTGCAGCTGGCCAGACAAAAGGAAAAGGCTCGCGAGAAAGCAAAGGCTGCCAAGGACCCTAATGCAAACTGGCTTTCATTGTTTTAAATTTTGTCCCAACCTCGCTCCGAAGTAGATGATAGGCTACCTCAGCGCATGGATTATCACTCAGAAGTTTTTCTCTTTCCTTCTTTATTTTTTTAAGGGACTTTTGTACACAATTAAAACTACATATTCCAAATACAAACAAACGATGTTGCAAGAAACATCTTGAAGAGTTCAACATATTTCTCAAGTCCCTTGATTTCCTTGTATATTCCTGAGCTTGCTGATCTGCTGAGATCGATTCTCCTTGTTTGCAAGGATCACTTTATTTGCCTGTGCTTTGAGGCTGATTGCATTTTTGCATCGGCTGAAAATGTTTTGATGTTCCTTGTCAACGATTTGCGAGGGGTTGTTGCCTTTTTCAGAGTTTCATCCACCTTCTGAGAACTCCTCTGACTTGCCTCTCGCGCTTGGCTGAGCTTGAATGGAATCGCAGTCGTCAGCGGCTTGAGGCTTTTCTTGATCATAAATGGAGAGGGCGGCTTGTACCCGGTTCTGCTGGGGCTCTTGACTCCAAGTTGAGGAGGTTTCGAAGCGGTGGAGCTAGCCTTGGTTTCTGTCACCGAGCTCTTGCGATTGACCTTCACGGTCGTCTTTGAAACATCAGCAGCCTTGGAACTGGCGATCGAGCGCATCTTCTCAAACTGCCGCTGATGAATCCTGTCGAAGTCTTTCACCGCGGGGTGCTTGGCCTTGACCGCCTGGCTCTCTCCTGGGAGATTCTTCTCCTTTCCTCCCGAGATAGTCGTAGATACAGTTGTCTTGGCCGCTGCTCGAGATTTGACCTCTGGTTGCGAAGTCCGGCGCCTCTTGCTGCTGCGCTCATCGACTGACTCGTCTGCCTTCCTTTTCTGCGAGGAATGACGTGGTTTCAGGCACTGGGACCTCGAGCTTGACTCGCGATGCTTGGATATGGAAGGCGACAGCTTACTCTTCTTGCCGGATGGAACTCCATTCGCAACCAACTCCTTGCTGCTATGTGACTTGCGATTAACTTCAGAAGCTCGCGGGGCAGCTTCAGCGAATTTCTCACTCTTGCGCGGGGTCTGGACCTGGCGTTTACCTGTACCAGGAGTTCGCACAGAGGATCTCCTAGGAGTTCGCGCAGAGGATCTCCTAGATTTGGGAGACGAGGCAGACTGCTGCCCTGCGGACGGCGATGCTGAAGAGACTTGAGAGTTGGCGGATGCTGCATCAATGGCAGCCTGGTCATCTTGATTGGAGACATTGTCCAGGAGACCGGAGCTGGTCAGTGCCGAGAGGATGTCTTCGCTCTTCATGTTCGCTTTGATTCCATGCTTCTTTGCTAGCGCTTGCAGCTCACGCCGACTCAAACCTGCCATGCTAGCTCTTCCTGGATCTGGTGATCAGACCTGGTGGGGTTATCTACGAGGGGGTGGGGTGTACACATTTTGTTTTGGACCGGGTGTCTGAATAGCACAAATAGTCTTAAAGTACCGGGTACATTTAAAATATACTTTCTTAACAAGGGTGGGGTTATTCGAATCAAGGGGTCCATCTGTCAGACTATGGCGTGCGGAACTTTTGAATTCAAATCATCGAGTAAACAATTAGCTATTTTCAACTTGTCCGCCGCGCGCAACTTCTGCCGCGTGCCACGATGCCAGTCCGATCACGCCCCGGGCCCGGCCCGCCGCGGCGGCCGCGGGCCCCGGGTGACGGCAGTGATGCCGTCACGGGGGCCGGGTGACCGGCGGCGTACCGTACCGGCGGCGGCGCGGGGCCGCGATCATGGACCGGTCGCGGCGCCGGCCCTCCGAGCCTCCGGAGCCTCCGACTGGCATCCTTGCAGTACCGGGGCCGGGGTAAGCCGCGCCCGGGCCCGAGGGGGCAGCGCCACCGCCCGAGGGCCTGCCAGGGTGGGCCACAGCCGGGCTGGGCAGTCACGCCGCAGCCTCCGCCCTCCCCCCCCCCCCCCGGCCCCCCGGCCCGCCCTCCCGGCTCCCCCCCGCCGGGCCGCCGGGGGGCGGCCCAGTGTGACTACTCACTCAAGGCTTTCAATCTATTATGGCAGTACGGTAGCGACCGCGGCCCGATCCGTCCGGCGATCATCGCGGCGGCCCGGCAGCGCCCACTGAGATGAGTGCTCAACCAAGTTAGCTCCTATAACAATTTAAATCTCAAATAGATCATTGGAAACAGAATCTTGTTCTTTAATTTCAAGTTTATTGAATTATTATATTGAAATATTCAAATGATTTCGAGTTGGGATCTCGAAGGGTGGCAAGGAGGGAAAAGGGTACGGAGCTAAAACAAGGGGTAGGGGCAGGAAGAGGGTAAACCATATAGGCCAAAGACTGTCGAAATCATAAGAAAGACTCTATCAAAAAACGGTATACATCGCCACTACTGCAGTAATGAAGAGGAGTGGATTTTCCATCCAGTGGGGTGGGGTGCACGCCGGCCAGGGTGGTGGGGTGGGAGCGGTAGGAGAGGCGACGATGAAGCGGACAGCGGAGAAGACGCTGACGCAGGACAACTGGCAGGAGGAGGAAGGAGAGGAAGGAGAAGAAGGACAGGTATGCTACCGCTCCCTCCTCCTCCTCCCCTCCCCTTCACTGCTCTCTTCCGACCTCACCTCATCCTTGAACCTGAACAGCTCGCCCTGCCCCGCCTCGCGGTATCCCGTGCTGCAGTATCCTGGTCCCCTGTTCCTCCTCGCTGACACCCCCACCTCGGCCCTTCTCCCTCTTGTGTTTATGTACTTGCTGTGCATGCTCGCCACACCCATTTCACTCCTTGATGCGAGAGGGGAGGACGCGCTGGGTGGGGTCAAGGGGAGCGCGTGCAACGCGGTCGTTGGATCTTGAGGAGGAAGGAGAATTCGGTATCATGCATGGGAGAAGAATTCTGATGGGAATCTTCGAGAGATGACTGCCCATCTAGTATGAGCATGGGATGAGGGGAGAAACATACGATTGCCACAAGATGGGCGGGGATGAAATGCCGACCTTGTTGAAGCCATATTTTTCTGAAACCTTATTGAACAGGAGGCTGGAGAGTTCAAGCAAGCAGCTCCCGAGGAGCTTGCCAAGAGGAGAATAGTCAAAGCTAGGAGATCCGCCAACGGACCAGCAGTGCCTGATGCTGTCGCGGATAAAGTTGAGGAGGCGAAACCTGTTGCTAACTTCTCCTGGACGACCCCAGGTACTGATGAGCTTCTTCCTTTCGCATGTCACTGAGATTGCTGAAACAGCTGCGGACAAGCCAGCAGAGGACAACAAGAAGAGTGAAGAGGTTGCCAATGAGAAGGAGGCGAAGGAGAATGGTGTGAAACCCACTGAGCAAAATGGTGAGAAAAGCAGCGAGAAGTCAGAGGAAAAAGGAGAGGCTGGAAAGGATGACTCTAAGGAGAAAGACGGAGAAAAGAAGGAGGGAGCAGGATCCCAGGAAGGAGGCGAGAAGAAGTCCCTGTTCAACTTCTCTGGTGGATTTTCCTTCGGGTCGGGCTCGGGGGGATCGAGCAAACCGTTCTCCTTCTCGGCAGGGTCGGGAACAGGGTCTGGATTCTCGTTCGGAACTTCTTCTGCGTTTTCCTCCGGCTTCACGTTCGGAACGGGAACAAAGATGGAGTCTTTTGCCAGCGTTGGAAGTCAAGGGTGGACGAGCAAGCAGAAGAAGGAGGAAGGAGAGGATGGCGAAGACGGAGAAGGCGGAGGAGAGGAGGACGCGCAGGCAGAGGTTGCTGTGAAGAAGTCGGACGCGATTGTCCAGCTCGACCTGGTGGAGACTTGCACAGGAGAGGAGGACGAGACGTGCGTGTTCCAAGTGCGAGCGAAGCTGTTCACGCTGATGACGCAGCCCAAGGAGAAGCCGTCGGAGGGGAAGGAGGGCAGCCCGAAGGAGGCGGAGAACAACGCTCCTTCTTGGACTGTGATGGGGATCGGCGATCTGAAGATCAACGTTCCCAAGGAGGGCGAGACGGACAAGTCGAAGAGGCCGAGGATCATCATGAGGCGGCAAAAGACTTTCCAGCTGTGCCTTAACACGTACCTGTTTGAGAACATGGTGTGCGATAAGGCTGGGCCCAAGGAGGTCCGATTTACGGTGAGTGGGGAGAGAGGAGGGGTGGAGCGCTGATCGGGGGACGTGGCGATGAGAGGATGGGAAGGATGCGATGAAGTGAAGGATGAAGTTCGGTTCAGAGTGTTGATGGGGGGAGGTTGGGGGGCGAGGATGAGGAGGAGTCAGAGGAGAAGGTGAAGAAGAAGGAGGTGGAGGTGAAGGAGGAGGAGGTGGTGGTGATGGTGAAGGAGGAGGAGGTGGTGGTGAAGGAGGAGGAGGATGAGGAGGAGGACTCGCTTGACTAGATATGCAGGGCATGAAGATTGACTCGGAGAAGGATCTAGCGACCTACCTAGTGCGCGTGAAGGAGGAGGAGGATGCAGACAAACTAATATCTCTAGTCCACAAGCACAAGTCTCACGGGAAGGAGTAGCTGTAGCTTCGTGAATAAATTCCTGTTACACTGCATCTCCTCCTCCTCCTCCTCTCCTCTTCCACTCCTCCTCCTCCTCCTCTCCCTCCTCCTCCCTCACGGCGGGATGTACATGCTGCTGGAGGCGTTGTGCTCCCTCGAGATGGTCCAGCCCGAGAGATGAGGGGAGAGGGACTCGTTGGCAGAGATCTGCGACATGATGAGACGACAAGGAAGGGGAGGGAAGGAGGAGGACGTGTAGCAATGGCTCCTGCTCTTCCTGCATGCTCGCCTGTGCGTGCTTGACCATGGCGACCTGTTGGTATATGAGAGGAGGAGGACGCAAGTGCTGCTACCTGCGAGACATTGGCGAAGGCCGCTTCGAGCTCTCTGAAACCCCATGGTGAAATGGAGAGAAAAGACGTAGACGTGGAGGGTGAAGGAGAGGAGAGGAGAGGAGAGGAGAGGAGAGGAGAGGAGAGGAGAGGAGAGGAGAGGAGAGGAGAGGAGAGGAGAAGAGAGGGGAGGGGAGGGGAGGGGAGGGGAGGAGAGGAGAGGAGAGGAGAGGAGGATAGAGAGCAATGAGAGGATGGAAACAAGAGGGGAGGCAGATTGAGGTACGAGGGGGTGAGCGAGGAAGGAGGAAGAGGAGCGGGTAGGAAAAGTAGAGATGAGCATGATCAGGGGAGAGGATCATCCTACCTGTAATGACGTTGAAGGAGATTGAAGTCTTGTTGCTGTTCGACATGATCAGAGGATGGTGGCGAAACAGAGGAGAGTGGAGGAGGTGGAGTTCAATGATGGATACAAGGGAAGGGAGGAAGAGGGCGACAGCGCGAACTAGGGGACAAACGAAGGGAGGAGAGGAGGTGGAGAAAGTGGGGGGAGGGGGGAGGGAGGAGGAAGAGGTGGTGGCGGGGTGTTGGTAGTGGAGGAGGAGGGGAAAGAGGAGGAGGAACGATGGAAGGGTTGAGGGACACAGGAGGATGAGAGAATTTCCACGTCACCAGCTGCCGGGCGTTGTGGTGGAGGAGGACGAGCTCCGCCTTCTTTTCTTCCACGCACTTGCCAGCTGAGCAGCAGATGCCGTCGATGATCGCGAGGCTGCACATCATCTCCTCCATCCTCTCTGCCTGCGGCACCACAGGGAATCTCATCCTCCTCCCCTGACGCGCAGGATCTCTTCCTACCTGCTGGTCCTCAAGGTGATGTGGAGGATGCTGCGGGCGACTCCTCCCTTCCTCTCTCACGTCTTGCGCTACTCGTTCTTGTGGTTGTGGAAGCACTGCTGGCAGGCGTTCTTCCCGCCTTCTCTGTTCCTGCCTGTTCCCTTCCCCTTCCTCGATTCCGTAATGCTTCTCCCTCTCCCTCTCCCTCTCCCTCTCCCTCTCCCTCTCCCTCTCCCTCTCCCTCTCCCTCTCCCTGTCTTGCTCCCTCTCCCTGTCTTGCTCCTCCTCCCCTATTTTCTGCCTGTCTCTCAGGTTGGACTCCCCTCGACTATTTCTATTCCTCTCCTCAACCTTCATCTCCACAGGCTCTGTCTGTGTTTCCTGCCAACTTGTGAGCAGCAAAGACTCGACCCCTCCACGTGCTCACTCGATCAGCAACAGCAGACAGCAACTGACATCGATCGAGGTCCTGTCCGCGTCTTGTCGCCGCCTGTTTCTCAAGAGCTCCATTGGCAGGAGATGTCGGATGCTGGGTAGGCGCCAGGTGAGCTGCGGACTGGCAGCAGGCAGGTGGTACCCTAGCAAGGATGGGGGAGCTCTTGAGAGAGGTTTGCAGCTGAGAGGTTTCGATGATCGCGTGTGTGAGTGTTTGCCCGACCAGCTGGAGAGAACGAACATCACGAATAAAGTTGCCGTTGTCAGCAGCAGCAGCAGCAGCAGCAGCAGCAGTCAAGGTGAAATGGACTTGATCGTCGTCATCACGTCAACATCTTTGTTGCGGACATCATCATCGTTATCATCATCACGAGCACCACCACCACCACCACCACCACCACCACCATCGTTGTCATCATCATCATTGACAAAACAAGCACAAGCACAAGCACAAGCACAAGCACAAGCACAAGCACAAGCACAAGCACAAGCACAAGCACAAGAATTCTCACTTTTGTTAGTTGAGAGAACTCCCGTAAGCAATCGCGGAGGATTGATTTCTGTCGATCAGTTTCATCACAGATTTCATATCTCGTCGCAATCAACCTCAGAGTTGGGGTCGCTTGTCTCCTCCTTGGTATTCTTCTGAGATGAAGGTCAACCTCATTCAGACGCTAATCCTCCTCTCCTCCTCTCCCTTTCCCTTCCCTCCTCTCCTCTCCGCCTCCCGTCCTCCCGTCCTCCCTCCTCCTCCTCCTCGTCTTCCTCCTCGCCCTTCCTCCCTCCTCCTCCTCCCTCCTCCTCCTCCTCCTCCTCCTCCTCCTCCCTTCATGTCTCTTACCTCAACTTGATTCGCTAGCAGCTCCTGAAACAGCTCAAACATCTTCCGCCGCTCTGCTTCCATCGCCTCCTCCGCCTCCTCCCTCTGCTCCTGCATCCTCCTCCTCTCCCTCTCCCACTCGCTTTTGACCTCAATCAGCTCCCCTCCCTTCCCGTCCTCATCAGCAGAGCACAGCAGATTTCAGCCGGCACCTGAATCGCCAGCTCCCTTCGTGCCGCTTGCAGCAGGTTGAAGACTCGCTGAAGTGAGCCATTAGAGAGGGAAGAATGTGGAGACTCTGAGGGGGGAGGGGGAGGGGCGTTGAGGGAGAAGAGGAGAAGTGGGAAGGAGCGGGAGAGGAGCACGGGAGGAGGTAGGAGAGGGAGAGGAGGGGAAAGGAGGAAGTAGGGAAAGGAAGAGGCAGGAGCGAGAGAAAGAGGAAGGGGGAAGGAGAAGAAAGGAAGGATGGGGAGAAGGAGGCAGACGACCACTCTTACCTCCTTCTCTCTCTCAATCTCTTCCCTCATGTCCGCGACGCGGTTGGACATGTCAAGTCTCCTGGAGCACGAGAGCGACTCAGGGCAAGAGGAGCAGCTTCCCGTCGGGGGAAGGAGGACAAGGGCAGGCAGGCAAGAGGGAGGGACAAGCAGGAGCAAGAGCCGAACATCTTCTCGAAGGCAACGGCTGCTTCCAGGTTGCACCTCCTTGAGATCTCAAGTTTCTTCACCTGCACGCCACGAGGAACAAACTTAACATGAGTAATGGAGAGATCGTTCAGCTGTCTCTCTCTCCCTCGCTCGCTTCCTCCTCCTCCTCCCTCCTCCTCTTCACCTCGTTGTAGAGCTCGACCACAGCTCTCTCCTTTGACTCAGGCAGCAGAACCAGAAATTCCTTCATCTTCCCCCTCAGATCCTGTCGGAGCTACGATGACAAGTCAGTGATCCCCTCGCCCTCTTTGACCTTCACCTCCTCGGTCAACTTCCTCTCGTTGTGCAGCTCCACTGTCAGGCGGGCTACCTCAGTCTCCAGCTCCCCCTTGCTGATCTGAAGCTTCTTGAGCAGATGAAGCAGCTCATGCTGCCTCGCTTCCAGCACGCCGTATCCCTCCTCCTCCTCCTCCTCCTCCTCCTCCTCCCCTTTCGCCTCCTGCATATCTGACCGCTCCTCGTTCCCCGCTGCTGCTTGTTCAGAGAAGGTCTCCGACAGCCTTCTGCGCCATCCCTCTCGCTCATGCTGAGCCTCCTGCTTGACATACGACAGCAGGTCTGTGTACTTGTTGTCCTCAGACTCCTGTATTGGGGACTTGAACATCCTTGAACACAACCTGAGATTCACTTGCAAGCGATTCGAGTCAACATGGACATCAAGACTATGCAAGCTCAGCTCCGAGTGCCTGCGCGAGTTACCATCAGTCTGTGTATCACAGGTTCATCTCCCAATGTATAACAGCCTTGCCTGAATGTGCTAACTCAACGCCGCTTTGCGGACTTCAGCGCCTGCCTGCCTGCCTGCCTGCCTGCCTGCCTGCCTGCCTGCCTGCCTGCCTGCCTGCCTGCCTGCCTGCCTGCCTGCCTGCCTGCCTGCCTGCCTGCCTGCCTGCCTGCCTCTCGCTTCCCTTCTCCTCCCTTCCCTCCCTTCCGCTTCACTGTTAGGACCCGCAGCATCATTGAAAGCATTTCATTGCCATCTTTCAAAACTTTGAAAGGAAGGGATACCACCCCTCATTTTGATAATTAATTTGGGGGTGTCGGATCTGGGTAGCACTGTGATGTGGGAGTGAGCGGGGACGAGGGCTTGCCGCACGTGAAAGATGATGGCGAGGAAAAGGAGGAAAGCAAAGACAGGAAGTGGAGGAGGGAGAGAGGATAGGGTGAAGGGAGAGGAGAGGAGAGGAGAGGAGAGGAGAGGAGAGGAGAGGAGAGGAGAGGAGAGGGAAGAAGAGGAGAAACGAATGGGAGGGAAAGGGAGGAGCAGAGTAGAACAGAGCAAAGCATTGGGTGAGTGTAGGGCAATTTGCATGCAAGTCAGCAGAGGACAGCAAAGGAAGTGCATGTGTTGATTTCTCTTTCGTTGCCTCGTTTCTTAGGCCATTTCTGTTTGCAGGCAGAATATTTCCTTGCAAGCTTCGTTGGTTGATTGTTTTTGGTCCCGCTCGTCGTAGTTTGCGTCGAGCCGTAGGAGATGGCCTGAGAAAGCACCTGCCTTGCTCCTACTTCCATCGCTCTGCGACACCACTTCCGCTAAACATGGACAAGACCGAAGACACGAACAAGGATCAGGAGCAGCAGGGGCTGGCGACGCTCAAGGAGGGCAAGGCGGAGGTGCTGCACAAGCCGGGAGAAGCCTTCTACAACCCGGCCCAAGTGCAGAATCGAGACCTGTCGATAGCCGTGCTGAGGGAGTTCTTCAAGCTGAGAGACGAAGAGGCTGCGAGCAAGAAGAAGGATGGCAAGGAGGAGGAGAAGCATCAGAGGAGGGTGCTCGAGGGGCTCTCAGCCACGGGTCTGCGAGCCATCCGGTACGCCAAGGAGATCGAAGGGCTGACGGAGGTTGTCGCCAACGACTTCAGCGCTGCTGCTGTGGAGTCCATCGATAGGAACGTCAAGCACAACAAGGTGGAAGAGATCGTGAAGGCCTCGCACGCAGATGCCAGCCTGCTGATGCACAAGGCGAAGCAGGTCGAGAAGGACAAGTTCGACGTCGTTGACCTCGACCCCTACGGCTCTGCCACTCCCTTCCTGGACGCGGCGGTGCAGGCGGTCAACGAGGGAGGGCTGCTAGCAGTCACATGCACTGACCTCGCTGTTCTCTGCGGGAACCACTCGGAAGCATGCTTCGCCAAGTACGGCTGCACGTCGTTGCGAGGGAAACACTGCCACGAGCTTGCCATCCGCATCGTCCTCTCCTCCATTGAGTCGCATGCCAACCGCTACAAGCGGCACATCGTCCCCCTCCTTGGTGTCTACATGGACTTCTACGTGCGCGTCTTCGTGCGCGTCTACACCTCTGCGTCCGCCGTCAAGTGGAGTGCGAGCAAGCAGTCGATGGTCTTCCAGTGCACGGGCTGCGGGGCATACCACCTGCAGCCGCTGGGGAAGGTGGTGGAGCGAGGGAACAGCATCAAGTTCCTCCCCAGCCTTGGCCCACCTGTCGGCGAGCTCTGCGAGCTTTGCGGGTACAAGCACCAGCTGGGGGGGCCGATGTGGAGCCAACCTTACTTCCAGCCCGAGTTCGTGGGAAGGGTCCGAGCCCAGCTGTGGGGCGACCAGGCGGGCTTCGCGTCGTACAAGAGAGTTTGCGGGCTGCTGACGGCGCTGGAGGAGGAGCTGGTGGACCAGCCGCTCTTCTACGACCTGAGCGTGCTGGCGAGCCTGCTCAACGTCGTGTGCCCCTCCAACGCAGCCTTCGCCGCGCCGCTGCTCAAGGCCGGGTACCGCCTGTCGCACTCGCACACCTCGCCCATGGCCATGAAGACGGACGCGCCGGTGGAGGCGCTGTGGGACATCATGAGGGGGTGGGTGAAGGATCACCCGGTGAAGAAGCTCAAGGAGGGCAGCCCGGGGTTTCGCCTCCTCCAGCAGGAGAGCAAGCACATCGTCGACCCCGACTTCACCGTCACTGCCGAGCAGAGGAAAGAGGACAAGGCGAGCAGGTCGACGCCCAAGTACATGCCGAACCCAACGCCTGACTGGGGCCGAAGCAGCGGGCGGCCGGGTACGCGCACGGGCAGGACAACTCGCTGGTGAAGAAGAGAGAGAGGAAGCAAGGGAAGAACGCGGAGAGGTGAATACAGACTTCCTTCTGACCCCTCCCTCCCTCCTCCTGCCTCCTCCCCTCCCTCCCTCCTCCTGCCTCCTCCCCTCCCTCCCTCCTCCCCTCCCTCCCCCATCCCATCTTGACCCTTACTCCTCCTTCCTCTTTTTCCTTCTCCCTGATCTCCCGCATGTCCTCTCGTGTGCTCACATGATCGGCAGAAAACGCAAGAGGGAGGAGGGCAAGGATGAGCAGGAGAATGAAGCGACGGAAGAAACGAAGGAGGAGGAGGAAGAGAAAGCTGCTGTAGGCGCGTAGGTGAGGGATCAGAGTAACAGCAACGAAGAGGAGGAGGAGGGTATGAGCAGTCTGTCCGTCACTTTTCAGCTTCGCTGCTGCTTGTCCCTGCTGAGAGTTTTGTGGAGCACGGGGAGCAAGACGGGCGGAAGCATCTCTAGCAACATGATTGTAATAAAACACATCTCTGATATGGGTAATACAAGACATCTCTGAATGGAGTATGAGAAAAAGCTGTTTGAGTTGGCTCGTCCTTGAGCAGAAAAGTGCGATCAGGACGCGGACAGGGAGGGGAGAGGAAATCCTTCTATACTAATCCCTCTCCTCTCCCCTCCTCCTCTCTCCTCTTCTCCTCTCTCCTCTCCACTTCCAAGTCCTCCCTTGCTCCCTCTACCGTCTGGTCCTCTCGCTTCCTTCCCCTCCCTCTCACTTCCCTGCGATCTCAAACTTCTCTGAATGCACCACGAGCGAGTTCTCCAACCCATCCTGATGGCAGCAATGAATGTCAGCCAACCAGTACACGAGCACCAGCATTGATAGCGGCAAGCCTTCTTCTTTCTCCTGCTCCGCTCCTCCTCCCTCCTCTCCTCCCTCCCTTGCCCTTTCCACTTGTTCTTCCTCCCCCGTCCTCATCCAAATAGAAACCACTGCCTCCTCCTCCTCCTCCTCCTCCTCCACCACCACCTCCTCGGACTACACCGACAGAAACATGAACGGCACCATCCCCAGGTGTTTGAATGCCCTCGACTGGATCATGGGATTGATAATGATTCCATCTGCTGCCATGTACGTCGTCGTCTCAA